AAAACTTAAAAATGGGCTGAAAATCTCGAAAATGTTGCACAGGTGACATTAAACAGGATGCTCATGCACTTTTATTGATATAAAGGAAGTATACCTTTAAGGAAAAATAATTGAATACATAGATATGTGGTCAACAGTAGTAAGGGAAATTGCATTGAAAATCAGATTCTGTTCTCATTAAAGAAAACAAAATGACCATTTTTTTTTTTGTTTCAAAGAGAAAAACTCATTGATATGTTCAATATAAATAAAATAAATTTGAAAATGAAATCTAAAAATCTAAATAATAATACATTTATTACAATACACAGTGTCAAATAAATAACAATAGGGTGTCTAAATCTACATTTTAATCATCTTTTAATAAGCAAAATATACATAATAATAATTAGTATTGTCTAGCAAATATATTAGTGCCCCTTCAAGGCAATCCATTTCTCTTTAAGGATGTCATCAGACTATACAAGTCAGACCTTTTGTGTGTTCATTACTACTTAAAGGGACAGTTGCGCCATTTTGGCGGGTATATTGGAGTGTTGAATATTTGTAAATAGTCTTCAGAAGTAGTAGAAATGTAAAAAAATCGCATAATCCCTTCAAAAATATCTTGAACTAGGAATTTTACTCACTATATATGTCTTTTCTATATATGACAGAGTATCTTAAAATGACAAGTCGCCATTTTAACATTCAAACGCAGATAAGTCCAGACAAACGTTGTTCAAATTTAGATGGTCGGCCGTGAACACTATTACTGATATTCCAGTTTTGAAAAAAAATAAAATAAAATAGCAGACCTGTCCCTTTAAACTAACTAACTGTACTGCTCTTGTTTTTATTTTGTTCATCTACTAATGTACACAAATATACATATAGTTGAGTCAAAATATAGTCAATCATAAACATGAGCCTTTCATTTTATTTTGTAATGATATGAATAGTAATGAACACAATATTTGTTTATCCTATATGGCCTAAATATAAATATTTTACCTAGACTGTTCATGTATATTTTTTGTATCCTCCAAAAATATGCCTTAATATTTTTACTTGACTATAGAATCAGTAATGTTTACAATATGAGTTGTGTAAGTGTACACTTTTCTTGGTGCAAAAATATCAGACTAATTTCTAAAGACTAAATTTAAACAGACAAAAGCATAATTTTCAGCCCTTATTCCATGAATGTTGAAATATTGACAAAATTTTACAGAATGCATGTTCATGCCACTTCTATCAAAAAGTGGAAATAAAAAATAAATATGCCAACATGCCATTTGAAGCTCAAATAAAACAGCAATTTGTACCAAATTTCAAAATGAAATATTATGATAAAAATTTTCACATTTATAAATATTTATTTCCATGAACAAATATTAATACTTGTTCACATATACATGTATTAATTTGTTCATATACAATGTTTTGTTCATACTATCTTAATTTATGTACAATTCCATAACACACATTTACTAAAAAAATGAATCTAGTCTTCAATATATTTGTACAGTCTTTCGAAATTTTTGTACAGTGTCAGTAAAATCCATTGTACAATATCCATAAATTTGTATATTTTATTTGTACAACATTCAGTAACCATGTACACTTTTCAGAACCAAAATATTTGTAAAATTTCAAATAAGATCATTAATTTTTTTGTATTTTGGTGCAAATCTGCTCTCTATCTATGCTCATGTACATCTATCAGAATTGAATATTTCCATAATGTACACATAATTCTCAATATTTGTACATTTGTCAATTTTTTTTTGTGATAAAGAGGAAACGAGTGCAAGTGCATAAGTGTACAATTATTATCAACTATGGACCACTCTAAAATAATAATTACAGCAAAATTTGTACAATTTTCATTCAATTTGAACAGGCAAGTACAGTTTCACACAATTAATTTGTACAAGTTTAATTACCAAATATACATATTTTGTATAATTAAAGATGATTTAAAGATATAAATAATGAATATTAATTGTGAATTTATTAATTATGAAATGATATTAATTATGGCACTATTTATTGTGCATAAATATGATTTTTATACGTCAATTTATTTTTAAAAATATTTATTAAGAACCATTAAATATTATTGTACAAGAGCTCATCTTATATGCTGTCAACACATATCAATTTTAGATATAAATTTCTCATCAGATCAGCTAGTTTGGGAAGGGTTAATTCCCATGTGGACTAAAATCTATGAGAGAAATAATGTAAGTCACTGAACATTTTGTACACCATAATTATTTAAAGGGATCTTTTCACACAATTATACAGTATTTTTCAATCAAGATAGCAGTAGAGATCACATGTTATGACCGTTTTTCTTAAAACTAGTCACAGTATTTGCATTACCAGCTGATTTAGAGCTGATCATTTCAACTATACATAGAACTGTTCAGAATTGAAATTCAGCAACTGGTGTAACTACAATCAAACAAAAAGGTACCACACCAATTTAGACTTCTCTTACATAACAAAAACCCCCCAAAAAACAAACAAATTCTACCACTGCGACTTTAAGATCCTTCTAACAGCTGGCCTTGGCCTGACCTCTTGGTATTTATCTTTCTTGGATTATCCATATCATGGTAAGCTTAAATTAAGCTCTGACAGCCGGTAAAGCAAATATTGTCATGACTTACATATCACAATAATTAATTGTAATTTCTCCACTTGAAGATGCTGATTCTTACAGAATTGTGTTAGAATTTTCTTTAATTCATTCCTTAACCATTTGTTTAATTCATTCAAATAAGTTCAACCGAGATTTCAAAAAGGACTAAACATCTTGCAAAAATATACACAAAATGGTAAAAAAGCAAATATTACAGCAGTCAAAAAATGTTCTTAAGCCTCAAAAGTTGAGTTATTGCACATGAAATGGGGATGTGTTTTCTACTTTATTTTTTTACTTTATAAGTGACAAAATTATGCTATCACAAATGTGTCTAATAGTGGCAATGTCTGAAAACTATTAAGATAATCATAAAGGATATACACTTTGAAGCCATTTTGAAAATACTCACTATTTTAAAACAATTCCAAATTTATTTTTCAGATTTTTAGGTTAAGGGGAAACTAATAGCTGCTAATTAGAATTTTAGAATTCCAGAAAAATTTTATCACAGATGTCATTCAAACCAAATCAGATGAATTTTTGTGGAGTTACAGAAGCCCAGATGTGTAATGGGAAAACAGAATGATGCAACTGGCAGCTATAATTGTCCCTAATAAATACAAAAAAGCCAGAAAACCTCTTTTAATTTGATCAATTCTTGAATAATTATGTCAGAAATTTTCCCCATTTTATTTCATTTTTATAAATTAATAATATCTAGTATAATTAAAGCATCAAGTCTTTGGTGTTATTAAATATTCTATGATAGAGTAGTTGTTCTGTTTCATTTAAAATTATTAACTTATACTAATATACTTGACAAGATCATTTTCATGCCCTGAAAGTGACTTCTGTCATGAGCTATGTGGTGACATAACTTTATATTCTTTAATGAGTTTGTCTACAGACCATCAACAATGCACTCTATAGTGATTGTTGACAGTGCACTCATTATAGTGACGTGTGTCATGATTTATATAGTGACTGTCCATTCATAAAATCTAGACACTATTGACAATGCATTCATGAACTCTATAATGACTGTTGACAATGCGTTCATGAACTCTATAGTGACTGTCAATTCATAAAATCTAGTGACTGTTGACAATGCATTCATGAACTTTCAATAATGATTGTGGACAATGTAGGCTACTCATGAAATCTTTAGTTACTGTCAATTCATAAAATCTAGTGACTGTTACAATACATTCATGAACTCTATAGTGACTGTTGACCATATAGTGACAGTTTAGTGATACAAACTACAATTTTTCAAAAATGTTCTTCATAATCTTATCAATAAATCTTCAATATTACTTAAATCATTCCCTTTAAAAGATGATTGTACACAACCAGCCAGATGAGTATATAGGTTAAAGGAGGTACTTCATGGTAATAGTAAGGGTATACGAAAGTTATATTGTTTATATTACTGTTTAATATAAGTTATATTCAGTGTAAAAATATAGGATTCTAAAATTCTAATACATATGTGTTATCTAGGGCTGAGACAAGAGCATATAAAGACAGAACTATTACAGAGACAAAATTGTACATTGTTGAAAATTGTACATAAAAATTTGTTTTCTCTCTTAAGAGAAGTCATTTTAATTGCCATTTCAAAGTATGCCTTATCTGAGACTATATCATTCAAACAGGTAAATACGGTAAAGGTACATAGTCATCTTAATATTTACTGTAGTAGCTGATAGACCTCAAATTAAGCTCTTATAAAAATTCTTTAAAATGACAATCCAACATCATAAAAAAGCAATATTTGCCAAATAGAATATAAATAATTTCATTTGATTGCAGACACATCAAGTATTGTATTTTCCTTCTGAAAAGTGATATCCATAGCTGAAATTAGTCTTAATCAGAGAACGCAAATAAATAGATGTCTAAGTCCCTTTAAAATTTCAAGGTATTTATACTTTCATTATAACTATATCACTATGTATACAGACAAACAAAATAAACCTAGCTAATTTGTTGGCTCTACCTGACATTTTCATAAGAAAAATTTCATTATCTTTCATTAGAGCAAAAGACATCAATTTTTCTGTGTTTATTAAAAAAATAGCAATAGTTTTTTAATCGGAGATGGATAAGGTTTTGAAAAGACCGATGAAAATCACAAAAATATTTAAAAGATGTAAAGCTAGGATGAGAGATCAGAAAAGATGGATTCAATTCTAACTTTGGTTTCAGAAATGATATTTTAACAATGAAAAAGCAAGATGTGATGTAAAATTCCTTCTCCAAAAAAGATGAACACTAAAACAAAACTTCACAAAACTACAATATTTAAGAAGAATAAGTTGAAAAATTAGTATACTGTCTTTCTAAAGTCCATGGCCACAAATCAGACGACACCTTCCATGAAACTTGTATCCAGATGTTGGATCAAAGTCCGTAAAAATCCCATTTCTTTTCGTGTATTTTCAAAAATAATTTTGGGATCTTCACTTTCACAGCGTAGACAATTTGGAGCCATCACCATGGCTAAATTATTTACATCCATTTTTGTAACAGATGCATTTTCAACAGCAGCAAAAACCTGAAAAATTAAAAAAAAAATTGTGTACATGATATAAATCATTCCATTGCCATTGCCTCATACATGTGTAATCTAACGATGTTGTTGGGTTTCTACTGCTACTGCATGTTGTCAATCAACCTACAAATGGGATACCAAATTCTACTGATTCTTTGTTTTTTTCCTAACCAAATTTTTACAGGACCCATCAATTTCAATGTCCAAATTCTCTCCAATAAATCTATAAAATATCTATCATCACTTGTATCTTGATTGCCGATAATACGTGTTAATCTCATGATGTAATAATATTATCATTGCCTGATTAATTAATCCCCCAATTAAGATTGTAATTCGATCTATTTTCACCTGATAATTTGTATTTTAACCTCATGTGACACACTTTTTATAACATCTAATAGACTTTACTTTCGCTTTGATAATAAATTTTACAAATTCGCCAATTTTCCTTAACTATTTAACAGAAAGGAGGACACAAAACTCCACTAAATGTCATAAGATGTAGGAAATATTACACCTTACCTGCAAAAACCGTAATAAATAGCACAATACTAGTCGGTTGATTTCTGGAAGGCGATTAACAATACTCATAGCCACTTCTGGTTCAGAGAAATTATCAATACATTCTTGGTAAAACTCAGCTGGTATCAGTGGTTGATATAGTTCACGATACCATAATTTTAATAAAGATGCTGGTATATGTGGATCAGGGCAATCAGACGGTATGACCCATTGATCACATCGAATCTTTAAGGCATTAACTTCGTCAATATCCCCAGGCACCCTGAAAATAGCAACAATTCATTAGGACGAAGTCAAAGAATCTAGGTGCCAATTTCTTGAAAAAATAAATAAGGACCATTTATTCGCACTGTCAACTTTGCATATATCCAACAATGTGATAGACATACATGTCAATTTTGAATGTTGACACATCAGTTCGTGCAGTTTCAATAAATAGCAATCAAAATGCGAATCTGAAAAAAGTTGTGACAAGCTTGAATTGCTATGGGTACCAGGTAAATTCACTGTTAAAAAACAAATAGCAACAAGTGATATCAAAGCACTTCAAAATTTTCAATCAAGTTTTTTATGTGGACTTGTAAGACACTTGACATTTAGTAAAGGTACAAATTCTTCTTTTCAAATTGTTCTACCAACCTAAATATTCCCTCAGTTTTAGCACCATTTAGTCTGAGAACTTCTTCTGAGAGAATAGTTTGTATCCATGGTAACTGTCTATCTGGATACCTCTCTTTCTGCATTAACATCACATCCTCTAAACAACTTCCAAACATAGATGGATGGAAAATGGATTTCTGGAAGCACAAAAAAAAATGTTTTGAAAATATTCAGTCAAAGCAGAGGGATACGAACCATTTATTTAAAACATTTGAATGTTTGCCCATTCTATGCAAATCTCTTTTTGCCAATAAAGCAAGTGTCAAAATTTATATGAACATGTGTGAACAACATAGGATGCAAACAAATGCACATAACTTTGAAATTCTATTAACAAAATTGGTTACCTTAGCCTGTTCAACTTCATCTAAAGATGGCTTCCTGACACCTTTTTTAGCTCCAGTTTGAAGAGCTCTGTTTAACCTCCTCTGACACAATGAGGCAAAATGACTAATTGGTACTTGTAACTAAAAAACAGAAAGGACAACCATGAACATTATAACAAACATTAAAGGGATCGTTGAGGGTTTTTTCTAACCTTCTATTCCACTCAAACTAAGCGTTATATGACAGGACTATCACAAAAGCTGCTAATATTATATAATGACCCTTTGCGAAAATGACGTCATCAAAACGCATTGTTTTAATGGAATTGCAAGAACCACACACATCTGAATGAAAATTGGAATGATGCAATTTGATGCTATGAGTGTCCCTGACATACATAAAAAGTTTAAAAATCCTCTTTACAATCCCTTTAACATATGAGGAAATTAAAAGTTTCAATTTGAAAATACACAATTTTAATTTCCTTGAAGGATGTTTCCCATAAAGATATGCTCTATTTCCAAATTGTAAACAAAGATAATTTGGTCTCCATTGGCAACTTCTGAATAAAGTAAACATTAAGATACAACAGAATGAGAATGAACTTACTCCAGGAATATCACAAGAATAATCTAAATGTCTCGAAATGAAGCCATCTAAGTAAGAGTAAAATCTTAAAGTTGGAGGGAAGAAATATAAACAAACACCAAGTAATTCCCATCCTCTTTGTAGACTATCACTGAAAAACAGACATGAAATGAAATGGAGTTTTACATCCTACTTTCCAACTTAGGATTTGGATATTAAATATGCAATGCATTGTGAAATAAGGGTAATTTCTCCAACCAACTTGATAGTACACAGCCTGTAGCACATGGGATCTCAATTTATTGTGTCATCAAAATAAGTTAACACTATTCCATTTTATCCTCTCCAATCTGTATCAACAAGCCTCTAACACACTGCCATTTCAAAATTGCGATACCTTAAAATTAGATCAAGGTTTCTGCAAATGTGCATTGAAGACAAATTATATTTTAAAGATCACTTACATTTTAGTATTTTCTGTGGTTTGTCGTGTTAACTGTATATATATTTCATCACGTAAAGATGGAGTTGTCCACCCTTTAGTCACTATTTCTAGAGCTACAGCATTAGTAGCTTGTCGTGATTTTCTATCACCCATATACATTTGTATCAGTAAGGTTAGTTAAGGAAATTAGTTAACGCTTGTATAATATGTAATAAAATATCAGGGTATATAAAATTACATTAAAGAATAATTTAAAAATTTGAAATCATTTCTTATCCTAAGATTTTTTTAAAAATATATGGTTTTCATGTGATATTTCAAGGAAGGGGAATTTCGCTTAAAGTATGGGTATGGTACTTGATGAAAAAATTTTCCATATGATCGAGCTTCAAGAATGACCGTCCACCAGCTGTAAGCAACACAACAGTTGTTGAGATCAATTTCAATCAAGGTTCTTTACTGTAGAAGTCAAGTTCATCAACTTTTGACTGAAACATAAACATCCTTAGCAATGTGAACCCTCTGATAGGTATGTTGTGTAGATAATTACAGTCAACAACAAGGACAACCAAGTGTTATAATTCTATTAAAATACCTTCCTATAGAAATTGTGTCAGATAAATGATACAAACTGTTAGGCCTATATATAAAAGGATATATTTAAAAACTTCACAAGCTTCCTTCTTAGCTAGTTTATCATTTGTTCGTAACATTGGTTTCTGTATAGGGTCCTGAAAAATTAAAAATTACACAATACAGCAAATAGAAGATTTCTTCATAATTTTCATATAAGCTATTTGCATAATTCAGTATTCCATGTGAGGACACCCTATGATCCTATATTGTTAATAATGAAGGTTAACCATCCACTTTCTGTGCCTGGTGATTGGGCTAAAAATACCATGTGATGGGAATTTTGTCAGTTCACCAGCATTTGCGTCTTGCAAGATCTTAAGCATGTACAGCATGTAGCATGGTCTTGTTTAATTGTCCCGACTTTGCACTTTCCATGTCAATCCCTCTAAACTGCATCAGTGACAGGGCGAAACCTGCTTCAAAGATCCTAAAGGTTTATCTAAACCATGTAGGACGGGTTACCTGTTAATTAAATGAAATTCGAAAGAAGTATTCATCTTCCTACCTTAGACCATGTCAGCATATTACTTATAGAAACTTTCTTTCCAAATAATCCTTTTTTATGTCTATTCATATGTTGTTGAGCGTAATTCTCAATATCGCTTTCTGATGGTAATTTCTGAAGAAGAAAAAACAGATGGTGAAGCATTTCCAGGTCTACAACAAAAGCATTAAATATGATATAAAATGTCCTTCCTGTGACATTTTTTACAAATATTGCAAATTTTATTTTAGAATAGACAATGTTGAGAGATTTTGATCCAAAAACATCACCATAGCAACAAGCAACTTAAAAATCTCTGAAGTTAATGATTGGATTAATACAATAATTCTGACCAATCAAAATTCTGAAACCTAAAATTTGTGAGAATCATAATTAGGATGCTAATTACAATTGACAACAGGATCTTCAAGTCAAAACTTTCCCTAAGATTTATTAAAGACAGACCATAAATCTTTATCCAAATTCAATTTCCAGATTATTTGGCAAATTTCCCATGGGAAACACAATAAAACAACCATTCTCATATTAAAAAAAACATCCCATTCAATTTGCAGTGTGTACCCTTCATGACATAGAACAGACAAACTACCTCTATCACTATATTTGATGTGATGAACTTTACAAATACTAAATTTATAAAAATATCATCATTATATGAAAAGGTCATTTTCATGTGGACTTTTCAAATCCATCACTCACCAACCACGATTTACGAAAATTGTTATCATGATTTTTCATGGCTATTTTATGATCTAAACCTACGCATGAAGGATATTATTTGTAGCAATTTTTTATTTTTGGTAGAAAAAACTCAAATGTCAGCAGACATGATGAAATTTCATTAGCTGTGAGCTTCATTCTAGAGAGAATTCTCCATCTTGAGTCCTTAGGGTCATGATTCAGTATTGATACTCCATCCTTGAGCCAGAAGGACTGGTACGTTGATATTTCAGCCACTATCTTTTGATTGGTCCAGGACTTCTGCCGAAGTAGGGAATTCTAATCACACAGAGAAAATTGAAAACATAATATCTAAATTCTAATTAAGAAATTTAAGCCAACATGCTGACAAAATTAATAAGGAAGATCCTGGTTATGAAGATGACAGAACCATGTGTCTGCAGAAAGAGCATAAGCACTGCCAAACTATTCCACACCCCTATGTAATATGAACATCCATTGATCACAATGAAGGCTCAGCTTTTGACATATTGTCACAATGTAATACACAAACTTCAATAAATTCTGTCAGGATTGATGTCATTGGTTCAGAGTCTGCTTACAATTCTGGACATTTCAACCAACTGAATAGAAATTTGGACCCACCAATTTTTACCACCAAACCAGTGAGATGAGTTCCACACAAGACACACAAGTAAATACTCCTTTTCACCATCATTACATTGCATTTAGCTACTTTAGTAGCTAGAGGGATAATATTTTAGATTATTAAAACTAAACCTACCTGTCTATTCAATGAACCAGTACTGGGACTAAGTGACATGTTATTAGAATCTGACTGGGAACCAACTACCATAGATTGTGGTCTTTGCTGATTAATATCTATAGGTATATTCTGACTCTTCTCCATCACAGGACTAGTGTTTGCATCACCTTTCTCTGCCATCTTCTTTCTGCGTAAGGATGCATGTTGAGTTTCTATCATCTGTTGCTGAGCTGAGGGTTGGAAAATGTTATGGGTAGATGCAATCTGCATCTCTATCATTTGCTGTTGAGCTGATGGTTGGAATATATTATGAGTTGTGGTTGGTGGTTGAGGGGAGCCAGAAGGTGGTGGTACAGAAGAGTATGAAGATTGACTATGATGATGCTGTGGAGGAGATGGCTGAATGGTACGAGGTGAAGATGTGGAGAAAATACTGCTACTATCTGATTCTTCAAAACCTTGATCAGCTATTACTAAAATAGAAATAAATGTAACAGTTACTGGCATCAAAAAGGGAATGAACTTTTCAAGGATGTAGGTATGTCAAAAAAAGCTTCCTTTTTTAAATATTTATACCACTATAAACATATGGACAATATGATCAAGATGTCTAGATATGTCAAGGGGATCTTCCTTATGTCTGCATTCAGAATTACAGACTTGACTGATGTTTCTGTGAAATTGTCAAAGGTACCACAAGTCTATAACTAATCAAAATGGAAATTGTCATTTTTCCACCTCTGCATGTCTTGAGTAAGTGTTACATATATGTTTCATAAAAAGAAGTAATAACTTGAAGGTCCTAATAATGACAAACCTACCTTCATAATCAGGAATTTTATCAGCCGAGATCTGTCTATAGATATGCTGATCGTATAAACTAGACATGGTGGTACTAGCAGTGGTTTTTGGTGGTAAAGCAGGAACATTAGCATAATCTCCATCTTTCTCGGCCTCTGAACCACTGAGTATCAGAGACCTCTGTAACAAATTACTTCCAGAGCGATCGTGGCACATACTGTGATCCATACTTCTATTGGAACCTCTGGAGGAATAGCTATCATGAACAGACACAGCACTGTCTTGAAGGTTTCGTAGAGATCCTTGAGAAGAATGAATGTCTGACATGTTCCTTGTGGATCCATGTGATGATTGACTGTCCGAAAGATCTCGATTGCGTGATGTCTGTGAAACCTGACTGTCGTGTCTATCGTGTTGTAAGACGTAATAGCCTCGTTGTGAGGAATGTGATGTGTCACTGTCTGATCTGTCATGACGATAATACATGTAAGCTTCAGGGTTCTCTGTATATGACTGTGAAGTCTGGATTCCCATGCTGGCTGAAAGAGGGTGGTCATGATATGGAACGTCATAGCCAGGAATACCTGACTCTAAACTGTGCTTCTTGTGTGGAGCTGTACGATGAACATATGTTGGATTGGTTCGAGGGAAAGCTCTCAGTTTTGGCTTTTGTGGAATGGGACTAACATTGCCTTGTTGATTAACAATATCTTGACTAAAAGCCAAATATTCATTTTGTCCACGAAGGTCTGGACTATAAAGTTTTTCATGGGTCATGAGCACATCCTGGGAGTAGTTGTCTGGTCTTACATAGCTTACAGTAGTTGGATAGCCATCTTGGTCATATGTGGTAGCTATTTGTTCTGAAATGCTTCCCTGACGATGATACTGATCTGAAAAACTGCCTTGTCGGTGATATACTGGTGGTGTGATGTTATAATTGTCATCTTTTTGATCCGAGTCATAACGTCTGCCACTTCCTTGACGACTGTGAGCACTGCTACTATCACTAGCACTAGACGATTTGTGTAAGGATCTAGACCGAGTAGGTCTAGGGGACTCAGAGACAGTTCTACTAGGCATTTCGAAAGACTCTCTTCTATTGATATGTGGTATGGCTGGTGATTCTGTTGGTGGATAACTACTGGATGTGGATTGGGAGGAAGTACTTCCCCTACGTCTGTGTTGTTCCCCATTAACATGATCTTGGCGACTAGAGCTACTGTGTGATGAGTTGGAATCTTGTCGAGCGTAACGAATCTGAAATATATCAAAAACTTGTCTTACTTCCTTGCTTCTTAAGGGATTGTATAGAGGTTTTCTAAATTTTTTATGTGTATCAGGGATACTAATAGCATCTATAAGCACAATTCCAATTTTCAATCGAAAGTCTGTTATGCCTTTAAAACTTTTTAAACTAAGTGTTTGATGACATCACTATTGCAAAATTTGCTTCTTTCACATAAAGCCCTCTGTGATAATGACGTCATAAAAGGCTTAGTTTAAGTGAAATTGCAGGAACTACAACTGACTAAAATTTGGAATGGTGTTTATTGATGCTATCAGTGTCCCAAATACACATAAAAATTTTAGAAAACCTCTTTATTATCCCTTTAACACTCAAATATTGAATTTTTCACTGTGCTCTTGAGTCGTCATGATAACAAAAGGGATATGAAACCTCTTTTGAAATACAATGGACACTCAAAAAGTATATTTCTAAAGGCAAATCAAAATGAACTTGAAAAACCAAATTGTGCAAAAAGAATATTTAATATGCGCTTATGCATTGAGTAATTTCTCATTTTGAACTATATTATTAGTAGATATACATAACAAATCAAGGAGGAACAAATATTACTTTCAGTTTGTACCTAAACATTTGTGTATATTATGTATAATTATGTGTATAGTTTTAATAAGTCTAAAAGCTTATTATGTATAATTATAAATATTACGTTAAATGTCACTTTAGCATAACACCACCATGTGGTTCTAATAAATGATTTTGGGTGAAGGGTTAAAGGCAACCCTTCGTTATTCGTGAAATTTCTGTTTGATTGAACTTACTAAAACATCTTGAATTTGAACAAAAATTATTTTTGAGCTACACCAACATTTTAAGTTAATTTTGTTAGTCTTTTATATCAAAAATCTCATTTACAAAAATTTCAAATTCAAAAAATCAGGCACGAAATAATTGATTCATCCTTTCGATTCAAAAAACAATAACTTTTGTAGTTTCTTGTGTGAATTTGTTAAATTTCTAAATCAGAGCTCAAGGGAAACAAGGAAAGTTTTCTGGCTCTTCCATATTCTAGCTTCACCTAACATTACACAAAAATGTTTTGTATGGCAAAAGTTGGGAAATGTTCACTGCAATTCCTCAGCAATAATCCAAAGATAACTCTTTTCTTACCTTTCGTGAAACTCTTGGGCTATTCTGTGTTTGGCTGGTGTTTTTCAGAGATCCACTTCTATTATGTTCACGACGCTTTGAAAAAAGAAAAGAAATAACAAAAATCAACATGGCCGTTGACAGAAAAACTCCAACACAGCATTTCAACACATAAGAATCTGAAGTTTGTCTGAGCCAGGGCACTAACACTCCATAAAAGGCATCCATAGTTATCAATTCAGCACTTGTACCCATAATTCCACAAATGTCGTCTGCTTACAATACCATTAATACAATCAAAAAATGTATGAACATTTTTTCATTTAAGATAAAATAGTGTTCACAAATTTGATAGTCAATTTTTTTTGTCAAAATTAGTCTCAAAATTAGATTTTACAGCATAAAAATAATTTAAATCATCCCATTACACTAAACGTCCTATATAGTCAAATCATAGAACAGTTGTGAAAGTCAAATGTTGACAGAATCTCCTTCCTGTAGTATTGTCAACAAATATTGAAATCCTTTCATATCTACGTCTTAAAATAATCCTGACTGTATGACATCATAATTTGACACAATTTTTCATGAGAACTTTCATATGTATAACAGGACACAAGCTACTATGAATATGATGCACAAAATCACTTGCATCACAAGTGCTTTAATGATATCCTACTGCATGGTGGCAGAAAAAAATCTTCTTGAACTGCTAGTTTTTAGCCAAGGAAAAGTCTTTAACGCAACAACAAATGGACATAAAGTAGAGTAAAATATTTTTCTTAGCAGAAGTCAGAACACCATACACACTAAACACCATGAAAAAGTCACGCTAAAAGTAGCGATGCACCACAGATATATAGGCAGAAAATTCTAAATCCACAGCAAGAGTCCATCATTCATGAAAAATTTAAGTCCATATCCACATACAAAAATCTTTCGACCATGTTAAAAGTCATGCTAAAAGGAGCAATGCACCACAAGTGAATAGTTAAGAACTCAAAAGCCGCAGCAAGTGATTTTATGAGTCCATTCTCCATGAAATTTGAGTCGACTCAATATCCAAATACCAAAACCTTTAAAAATGTTAAAAGCCACACTGAGAAAACCTATTCTTCACAATTCATGGTCCAAGAATCCTAAATCAAAAATCTTATATGAGTGTGTCTGCCATGAAATTTTTCTTAACACCATGACCCTTGCAACTTGTATTCAAATTCAAATTCAAACTGTACTGAATGGCAAGGTAGATAAACAACAATATTAGTTAGAACACGACCTAAACTCTACCCAGGCTTCCTGTCATTGTCTGTCTAACCAACTGACCTACTGGTACCATACACATTATACTCATAATTTAAGGCCACACCAAATTTCATAGCAAAGGTTTCAGCAAATCTAATATATTTTCATGAATTTTTTTTTGGAATTGGTCAAAAAAAATTTACTGGACAGATTCCTTTCTTAAATACACATGAAAAATTTGAATTTCAAGACAAAACAAAAATCACATTTTAGATTTGGTAATTAATGACTTGGCCTTAAAGGAAAAAGAAAATCATTCTTGAAAAAATGAATCTATCCCAAAATTTTGATTTTTCTCAGATAAATGCTCAGCAATCTTACAATGCCAAGACATTTATCAGATTTGAAACTTAGCTTCAAGAAAACTGAGGTTCTCCGTACTAAGTATTTTGGGGTCTGCTCAATGAACTTTAATGAAAGTTAACTTTCCTCAAAATATTGGAAATTGGAACATAATTTTCAAATAAGCTGTCGAAATAAGGATTAAAGGGACTGGTGCGCCATTTTGGGAGGTTGATATGATTCTTGAATGTATGTAAGTAGTAATAGAATTACTAGAAATGTCCGAAAATTCACATAATTCCTTTAAAAACTAGGAATTTCTTTTCCTATTTCTATAGCTGTCTTTTCTGATAGTGTTTCAAAAAAAGGCCCTTTGTCTTTTTAACTTTCAATCGCAGATAATTCTGGACAAACATGGATTTGAAGGCTTAAATTTCGATGGTGGCTAAGCCAAAAAATTCCTGTTTCTGAGACTAAGGTACTATTGGTAATAAAAATGGCGCAACTGTCCCTTTAAGAAAGGAGGATATAATTCGATTATCTTTTAGACGATCTTCGAAATTTATAGACTATATTTAGATTCTGCTCAATGAACTTTCCTCAAAATATTGGAATATTAAAACAAGCTGCCCTTGATGAGGATAAAAAAAAATGCGAAAGCTCAAGAAAAAGATTTAAGGAAAAGCAGAAATTGTCCTCCCTGCAATAATGTCATCTTGTCTATTTTTAAAATGCCCAATTTAATAATTACATTAGAAACCATTTAATTTCTATTCAAAGATAACTCACGTTTACCTAACGTAATTTTCACTGGATTTTACAATTAATTCCTTCCATACAACTTTTTAAAATTTCCTCAATTTGACACTATGTTTGAATTTATGCAAATGTGATATAAAATAGGGAATTTTGTTTTCTTTTTAGTTGTGTTAAAAATATTGATAATCTCATTGCTCAGTAAACCCATGGTTTATGAAATAAATGCCAAATTTAGTAATTGTGTAAGAAATGATGAATATATCCTTACAGAAACCTTTATGAAACGGTCTCTTGCTCTCTTAAAGGGACAGATATATCATTTTGATGATTATTTGAGTCTTAACAAGTACTAGAAATGTACGAAAATCTCATAATTCCTTCAAAAATATCTCAGACTAGGAAATTCTTTTCTTATTTCTAAAGATGTCTTTTCTATATATGGCAAAAATTCTGGACACACATGGATTTGAAGGCTCAAATTTTGATGGTCTGTGAACACTATCACTGATTGACTTAACTAAAAAATTTCCATTTCTGAGACAAAAGTATGATTGGTCAAAAAAATGGCGCACCTCTCCCATTAACCCTATGTTAAAGGACAACAGAATGCCATACACTACACTCTTTTTAGACTTTTTAAAAATATCAAGAAGGATTACAAATTATCCTTTAATACCGTAATTACATACTGACATTTAGGCAATTAGCTGAACTAAGTACGCTTTCTTCATGTTTATGAATAATACACTGAAGATTGTTTCTTAATAGGTCAATAAGTGTGTCATAATTTATCAACTGAACATTACATACATGTAAATATAGGACCAGTTGTAACTTTTAGCTAAAAAATAAGGGACCTGGTTTCAACAAATTCTAAGATATTGCTCAGTTGATTGCAGACTTGAATACATGTAAATAGTCTTCAGAAGTACTAGAAATTTACAAAAATCGCATAATTCCTTCAAACATATCTCAAACTAGGAATTTCTTCTCTTATTTTTATGTATGTCTTTTCTGTACATGGCAGTGTCTCAAAAAAAGATAACTCGTCTTTTTAACTTTCAAACGTGGATAATTCTGGACACACATGGATATGAAGACTCGACGGTGAGCTGTGAACACCAATACTGATTAGCTTAGCTAAAAAATCCCCGTTTCTGAGACTAAAGTATGATCGGTCAAAACAATTGCGCACCTATTGCTTTAAAAGCGTTTCTATATATATAGAAGTAACAATGTTTCTGACAAAAAGCTCATAAAATCAAAATCATACTTTAGTACATATGTATGTCTATCCAATCATATTTGTTTGATGTTTCTTTCTGGTAATATTTTTTCCTATTTAACTGGTAAAATCCCTAGCAGCATTAAATGGAAGTCGGCAGATGCCACTGCCAACAGTTGTATTGATATTTCATCATTGAAACATTCCATTACAGACTACTCATCAAAAGTGTGTTATCTCCCTTGATTTACTCTTGGAAACAGAAGATACAAAATATCTACTTACTGGTGTAGAAACTGGTGTTTGTGTACCCATTTCACGTTTCACAGAATTTTCACGTCTGCGCTGATCAGCTTCACGAACTTCTGTATTTTGTTTTAATGTCTAAAAGAAAACATTTTTGTTAAGTTTTTCAGTTCTATCAAAGACGTTAAACCACTATGGGTTTTTTGAAAATTGCTTATTTTGGTTGCTAAAAAGAGATTTATGGAATGATATTTCCAAAATTTCTATTTGTTTATGGAAAAAGTTTTAACAAAAAAACACTTGCAGTCAAAGGAACAATTTTTTTCTAAAACTGCTCAGTTTAAATGACTATAATTTTCATAATTGTGCATTTATCAAAAATCAAAGAATGTCATTCTGTTTGAAACATTATGGAGAATATTTATTCCAAATTTCAGGTTTCTATCTTGAATTGTTTTTTGAATGACAATTTCTAGAAATTTTGAAATGGTCACCACTGTTCTTTTGAGATAACCAGCTTCAAAGATATACAACATTGTTTATTTGAGAGTACCTGTCCACTCGAAAACACCCATATTGCAGTATATATTATGACTTTGAATCACATATTCAAGGAATGCATCATACATGTACCAGTATTATATGGGAAACCATACTAACAAATCCAAAATAAACAGCATAAGCTAATCTATTTTAAGCTTAATTATCATCGAGGCAAGGAAATATTATTTTAAGAGGTACATATAGAAATAGAAAGTGAAATTCCCAGTTTGAGGTATTTTTGAAGGAATTATGCATCTAGTATTTCTGAAGCCTATTTACATAATTATATTGATGACCTGAACCAAACACCAATAAAGGCGAATCTGTCCCTTTAAGAAAAGTACCAAAATAAATCATAAACCCATCATAATTGAAATTTCATTAGAACTTCACTAAGACCCTGAGGCATTATAACAAGTGTGTACCAGTATTAAATGAACCATGCAAATCATGTATAAATGCAATATGATTCTCCATGCATAACAGAAACCTTATCTTGTGTTAAACTGAGGGTTCTAATGATTAGCTGCATTCAAGTATTAAATCAGTTCATTGTAACCTAGGCTTCATGCAGATTTGATAATTGGTTAAAAGCCTCTGGTGCCATCTTTGATTAAAACTTTAACTCATTAGCCCAGAAAATTGCAAGATAAAGCTCGGCAATTTTAAAGGGACAACGCCTTACATTTTTAAATCCCATGTACATGTGTATTTTATGAATTTTTTACTTTTATTGCTTGAATATGTCAGATCGGTTAAGGACACTCTTAAAAATTTACTTTAAAAATTCATTGTATGGTTATTAGTAATGAAGTAGTCGTGGACTAAATGAAGTGTGCAATGAGGAATAGTGACATAAGTCTAAATTTTTCCATTGCTAATGTTGAAAGATCGTTGCACAGTCCCTCGAAACAGGGCCTCTGTCTACTGTTCTATCTCAAGAAGTAGATACTTCTTCCATGTCTGTCCCTCTGCTCCTCCAACAGATTGAAAATTCCAAGGGTGACATCTGGACTTATGCAGGCTGAATCAAACGGACCCCTTGTCAGCAAGGAAACGTCAAAATAACTGGCAAGTGGCATCATCCCTTTAACTTATGAAAACTAGCTCAGTCTCCATCTGATAAAATTAACTTGGCATTAGGGAACATTTAGCCAATTATCTTATTAATGAAGTGAAATTTGACCATACCTGTAATTTAGCTAATGGAATGATATCACAATTCTGTGGTCGGTGCCAGACCGTTTTCTGGCTACTGGCATTATAATAATAGAATCTGGAGGTATTCGGATCAAATAATTCCCACCATTGGTTGTCATCTGTCTTTTTTCTGAAAAATTTAAAAAAATAACAAAAATAAGATAATATGCAACTGAAATTTGTCTTAAAACTGCATATAAAAATCTACATTTCATAAGAAAATGCTTGAACATAAGAGATAATTGCAATCTTTTTTTTATAAATTTGAAAGGTTTTCAATGTTTAAAGTGGTAAATTTGCATTGTACATGTATATAATATGCAGAGCATATTGCTAAGGATTTGGATAGAATTTGCTATGATCTGTTTTTATTGAATTTGAGTTTGATTCTGAGTTAGCGTGTGAGTTTGGGTCTGAGTTAGCATGTGAGTTTGAGTCTGAGTTAGCGTGTGAGTTTGGGTCTGAGTTAGCATGTGAGTTTGAGTCTGAGTTAGCGTGTGAGTTTGAGTCTGAGTTAGCATGTGAGTCTGAGTTAGCATGTGAGTCTGAGTTAGCATGTGAGTTTGAGTCTGAGTTAGCATGTGAGTCTGAGTTAGCATGTGAGTCTGAGTTAGTGTGTGAATTTGAGTCTGAGTTAGCATGTGAGTGTGAGTTTGTGTGTGAGTTTGAGTCTGAGTCTGAGTTAGCGTGTGAGTTTGAGTGTGAGTGTGAGTCAGTTAGCTTGTGTACACATGTTATTGCAGCTATATCCTGCTTTCTTCTTAATTTGGAATGTTTGGATCTTTAATAAGCACACTGGACTTCTGAATACTGTATAATTACATATATACCGGTATACAGATAGTTGAATTTGGTGAAATAACCTAAAATATAATAAATAACAAACAAGCCAACTGCAAATCTTGATGTACTATTTATTTTAAATACATGCATGCAAGTGAAACAAAATACGCGTAACAAAACAGATGTATAAATTCATTATTTGTTTATTTTTTATATGTAAGCTGTTCGTGTTCCGAGTTGTTCCTGTTCATTAAGATCAGGTATCTCTAGAGTATTATATTTATTTATGTTTTCTCCAGATGTCTTTAGTACAGAAATATTAAAGATATGATATGAGCTGATAACAAATTTATAATTCATTGCTCCTTATTTTAAGATGTTTTTAAGTCATAACTATACCAAGGCCTATAAAGGTATGTTCTAGATAACTGTTCAGATATTCAGACTATCTAAAATGATGTCGAATGGACAAACAATATCACAAAGTATCATTAGTTATTCTGGAAAGAAGAGGCTGAAGGTAACCACTGAATTAACTGTTCAGACATTTTCATTTCATGGGAAAAAACTATAGTTTCAAAGGTATTATCGATTAATTTTTAGGCAAATCTCCTGGTAATCATCTTACACAGAGATGCCAACTCATTTACTATTGGTTTGACTGAAATAATCAAGAAAGGTAGCTTAAACATTACTAGGGAGCCTCGGTGGCTCAGTGAGTTAGGCCCTTGCTTGCTAACCGGAAGGTCCATGGTTTGAACCTGGCATAGGTCGAGATAATACCTTCGAATTTTTCAACCCGGTTTCCCCCTGTCAGTGATGCAGGTAAGAGGGACTGACATGGAAAAAGTTTCTATAGTCGTTCGGATGGTACAATAAAACAAGGCCCTGTGTGCTTACAGGCTGTGCACGTTAAAGATCCCTTGACAGTTGGAAATCGACAAAGAGCAGGCTAATGCCGCTTTCCTGGTAAAATTTCCCGGCATGGCATTTCCTGTAGTTATTAGTCCACATGGTGCAGAAAAGTAAGACTTAAAACTCAATTCATTTCAATTCATTTTTACATTACTGGGTTACCAAGTCAGATTCTAAGTCATTAACCTAATATTACTGTAGTATTTGGCCTGTTGAAATTTTCACCATGACAGACCAAGGTGCAGCTACCTTTAAAACATATGTTTCCCATTTTCATACCTGAAGCATTATGGTCTATCTATAATCATATGAAAGGTAGACAGATTTAGCTCATTATCATTTTTGTAATCTCATAAAAAAAATTCACTTGTAACAAAAGGAGACCAATTATGATGGAAAAAAGTAGTGACTTTTTATGTTTAATACCAAAATTACTTGTAATTGTTTGGTATACAATAACATTGTCAGCCCTCGAATTATGGTCTCCTAAAGGTATGCTGAAAGCGATCTTTTCTTGGCTTACTAGTGAAACATTCCACAGCAACACAAACGCTTGAAACAAATCGTTTAAAACAATGGTGTAAGATGCCAGTTTGGCAATGTCATGAAAAAACGAAATGCAAACACTAAAATTCAAAATCATAATATTGAATAATTTTGCCAGTTCAACAAGGCAATCTTTTCAAGCTTGATTCAAACTTCCAAAAGATATTCAAAGGTAAAATCTATCTGGATGTAGGGCAGGATTTTTTTTACGCTTGGGGTCTTTTTTAAAATTTTGGAATGAAATGAGGAGATTTGTAGTCTAACATAAAATTTTTTGACAATTATAATTAAATCGTTCTATTCAGTCAGGCTATCTTCTCCGAACTGATAAGAATGCTGGGCAATTTAAGAGAAAATCACGAAATAGTAAGAATTTATAGGGGAATGTATTTGATCACTGATCCTGGAATGGGTAATAGAAAGAAAGAGGTTGAAAACCCCTGGGTGTAGGAGAACATGCATCAATTCCCACTGAGCACCAACATTTGTGATTTTCAAATGAAAAGAGCTGAAACCTATCAAACCAAAAGTTCTCAATCTGGACGGCTAATGTCAAAATATTTGTTTCATGTTAGAAAAATCTAACAAATTGTTAAACAGATAGTATTTTAGTAATGCCTTGTGTCAGAGTCGTTGTTAACATACTTCTAAACATGTTTAACATTTTCTTTCTTCTGCTTCAAACATGTTTGACTTCTGCTGCACTGCCGTTTGGTGCAAATATTATCACTTCTGACCTTTTTCTTTTTAGTTGGTTATCATGGTGGTGTTACTTTAGTGCAAGAAACAAGTCAAGAATGCTTATTCTTTTTGGCTTACTTTTTGCATCAAATGCTCCACTTTTAAAAAACAGATCTATTCTGAATCTTAAGATGATATTGGTGCAGAAGAGTAGGACATAAAACTCCATTTATTTCATTTCATTTATAAGATGAGATTGGAAATTCTTTTGTCACTTCAGCCGAAAATATCAAATTGATTCAAACTTGTTTCAACTTTCAGGCCCTTGTCAAAAGCATGTTATTCAACAGGAAACCCCTTTACTTCTGCTCTGCTGAAAATTCGAAATTCCTAGGTCATCTGCTATCATATGATGTCAGAAGGACCTGACAAAAATAATTACTTACAGTTGTAGTTGTTAAAGCTGTGAATTTGTGTATCTGTACAGAAGTGGTGCAAATTATGATAAAATCTTGTATTTAGATGAAATTAATTTCAAGATCCACCTGTTTAAATTTGCCTTTAAGGTGTTTATCTTTAATTTTACGCTCTTGTACTTGTTCATTAAATATGTTACATATGTTGGAAGGTTCGCGCGCATCAAAAGATGGGAAAATTTCACAAATTAGCATGTGGTGTATATTTTCATACCAGATCTTACTGGCTTAGGGTGTAAATTATAAATCTAAGCCTCAAGGCTAAATCAGTCTGGCATGGTGTGGGTAAAAATTTCAATCAACTTTCGAGGGCGCAGAAACAGTCCCACAAGCAACTTTTTGAAACTGAAACTTTAGAAAGTGTAAGTATAGAATCAAAGAAGGTGCACGATTGATCTTGGAACGCTGTGCCCATTTGACAAATCATGAACTGATTTACAAAAGATAAATAAACAGCATTGGATCTCTTAGTGGTACAAACATCCAAGTCATAGTTGGCCAACTGTGTTACAGCACCTACTTTTCCAGACCAAATTAAAAGGGTTAACAGGTTTATCTAATCTCATCTAAACATGTTATAAATATGACATTGGCACATAACTTGATGTCAGTTAGGGTTCCTTATAATATCAGGATTTATAAAATTCACCTGTTGGCATAATATACATATACATCAACATACCACTGGGGCATTCACAGTTAATGATTGACCAGTCATGTCTGCAACAATCTGATTTAGATATAAGTAGAATGAGTGAAGTAACCCAAAAAAAAGATAGCATGACTGACAAGATAATTTATGCCCCTGTCAGCGTTTAAAAAAAAGAATTGAAAACACTGAACAGGACTTGGCATTGGTGAAATTGATGGGGCTGGTGGTAACATAAAATGCTAGAATTTTCATCTTTAGTTTATTCATGTTTTTGTCTAATCAAATAAGAATTGTTTTCTCGTTAGTGCTAGGTCATGTTTGTACATGTGAATAGGGTAATTTTGCTACACTTGCAGTCATTAGTCAACGATTCATGGAATCAACCGGGCATTCAATAAAACAAGTTGAAACAGAGTTTAGAGCATGTTCAATGTGTGCTGAATAAATAGTAGGTGCAGACACAATTCAAAATGTACCGCTTGATTTAAGCAAGAATTGAAACAAACAGAACTTGTTCAGAAGCAACCATCTCAATGAAGCCTTCCATTTGAGTTTTATTCAGGAATATGGTTTGAAAGGGGCATTAAAAACAGAGACTAATAATATTTTATTTAGTTTATAGCTGCCCCTGAAAATGGTGCCATAAATTACTGACAGGGTTAATTAAAGGTCAAAGTATATGGAATCCCAACCGTGGTTTATCATAGAAATTAATATTAACCCTTCCTGAGAATGAAAATATTTCAGGACTAACTACTAGTGCCATAAACTAGATAACAGCTATCTGACTTCACTGTGTAGATAGACTGTTATCTTCACTATGTCAATATGAATCTGTGCAGTTATGATATATGTGATATGATTATCTGTATGCGGTATATAATATATGATATATCTGATTTGACTAACATGATAAGTAAGGATATGATATCACTACTATCATATAACCATCAAATATAAGATAACATCAAGACAAATACGGATTAAGCAGGTGCGAACATAGTGTTCATAAAGAATTTACATGAACAGTTCATGAACACTTCAATTTAATACAATTCTGTCTCAACAAGTCATTTT